ATCACCAACAGACATTGATAAGGAGTTTTATGAGACATTCAAAAGAGTAGAAGTAAACATTCCACTGTTGGATGCAATAAAAAAGATTCCAAAATATTCAAAGTTCCTTAAAGAATTGTGCATTAACAGGAAGAGACTAACAATGCGGGAGAATTTGATGTAATATATTTTAAGTTTATATTTATAGTTTTATTTTGGTTTATAAAGACTTTTAATATGCTTTGTTTTTAGAGTTTTTACCATTTTCTGCTTATTGGAATAAATTGGGCCTATTACAAATAAATGCTTTAATTTTTAGAGTTTTTACCATTTTCTGACCTCTAACTACTCTTTTGGCCATAACTTTTTCTATAGATATCATTTTTGGTTGATTTTAATTACATTAGATTATACACATCCAGGGCTTTAAAATGCATATATGGACTGCTGGATTTCGAGTTGATTTTGATTTTTTATAATTTTTTGAAACTGAGATAGATTTGCTGAATATTGTTGCGAGATTACATTTGGACCCTTTCTTATTAGATAATTGTTGTATTTGGGCTTGTAGTTATAATTAATGCCTGAATTTTGGCCATTTAGTTTACCCTAATTAGAGCTTATAAATAGACTAATAAGATTCTGATTTAGGAGAGGTGATAAAACACTTTGAGATTTTGAGACTTGGCCAAAATAAAAATCCTTGTTTTTACTTTCTCTCTAACTCCCTTGTTTTTTTCTCATACTTGCATGGGTTAAGTGCTTTGGTGGAATGCTAAACCTCTCGTTCAATCTGCAGAATCCAAATGTTGTAATTCTGACTTGAGTTCTGCGTTAAATTGCTCCAAGTTTGTTTTCTTTTTCTCTCTAATCTCATAATTATGTATTGCGATTATGATTAATTTTCTGTTGTTAGAATTAAAATTAGGACCTAATTGATGCTTGATTTGATAATTAATGCAGATTAGATTAAATGATTATTTGATTTAATTCGTAACTTTGTTCAATTAGGTTATTTGACTGAATTAATAATTGAATTGGGTGATTGTTCAAACTCAAATTTAAATCTTTAGATACTGTGATAGTCGGAGTTATACGCATTTGGTATTCTGTAAATTGATGTTTCTTAATTTATTTTTACTCAATTTTAATTTGTGTGCAATTTAATTTAATTAATTTGCAGTTTTTGAAACTCCAAAAACCTTATTTTCATTTTTTAAACGAAAACCTAAATTTGAATTTGACTGAGAATGTGTCTCCGTGAATCGACCTAAGTTTGGCTCTACACTACAAAATTTAGAAAACTTAGTTGTTTTAATAGCGACTCAACATCATTTATCACTCTCTCAACATAATCTTACCATTAGATCCATTTTTTAGCACAAAGGCTATGTTATTTTAAAGAACATAATGTCTAAGTTATGAAGGGGCAAAGATAAAGGCCTTTGGATCATTGCTGATGTGAAGGAAGAATTGCACACTCATTGGCCTAGAGAAGAGTTTTAGAAGAAAAGCATTATTGGTAAACAAAATAGAACTATAGATGGTGGAGCATCTTTGTACATTGGTGGCTCTGTATCTGCTGTTGTGCATCATATAGAATAGTAATTATTTAAATTGTCTTTTGTTTTTTTAAATAATTTCCTTCCTTAAGAATTTACACTTGTAATATTATGCAGATTGAGCAACTTAAGCGAGTTCCCACAACATTTGATATAACGGGAAACACAAAAGTATTGTTGTATATGTCTTTCTACATACTACTTCACATAAATTTTAGCCTCAATTTTATTATAAATTATGACTAATATGTTATTTAATTTTTTAAGATGAGTTTATTCGACATTGAACTGAAGCTCATGCATATGACATTGATGATCATGGTGAAGAGGGTACCACAGGTGACCATTCTATACCTACTGACAATGCCATTTTTTTAGAAGTTGTTGAAGGAAGAAACAAGAAAGGTCATGTGTATAGGTTAGGACAATTAGGTGAAGAGTTTGTGATCTCATCCTCTCCTTGTACGCAGTCTAATCCTAGTTCTAGTGTTAACTATCAGCGAATTATTGCTAACTTTAATGCAAAATTATTAGCAAAGGACACACACACATTAATACTATGCAATCTGAATTACAAAGGACCAATTCAAAACTACAGAAGACCGAGGACATTCTCTAACAAGTTGTTAAACACTTGAAAATTTCAACCAATACTCAAGTGGGTGATTTTCGTATTAGTGGTGATAATGTTAGTTCTTCTCATGATAACATTGATCCACATTCATAATTTAGGACTTTTTTTCTATTTGTTATGGAGTTAAATATATTTTTTTTATAGATTCTATACTTATTTTATTTCTTTAGATGTATTTTTTTATCATGTTTTTAGTTTTGAACTATTAGCAAGTTTTGCTAAATATCACATCTTATATAAGCATGTTTTGTTAAACAAACAAGTCTTGATGAAAAAAATAAAAAAAATAGTTAAATAATTCATTATAATTAGCAACCGAATTAGTGACTAATTTTGCTACTAGATGTTGGTTGCAGCTTAGCCACCAAAATTACAACTGAATAAGATAGACGCAAAACTACAACTGAATTAGCCAACAAAATACTAGTAGTAGAATACAACCAAATAGCAACTGATAATAGCAACCGAAAAAGGGGATTACAATTAGCAACTGAAAAAGGTAGTCACAATTAGCAACCGAACTAGCAATTAAGAAGGTGGTAGCTAAATAGCGATTAAATTTGTTCAATTGTTAAATTCAAATTTTTGCAACTGAATATATTTTCGGTCGCTATAAGTGTTTACAACCATTATATTAGCCACTAAGCATAATCACTGGCTAAAAAATTTTGCAACAGAATATTGTATTTTAGTCATTGATTTTGTCGGTTGCTAAATGTATTTTTTTTTTGTTATCAAAATCAATTATTATCATGGAGTAGACCACTACAACTTCCATGTAATCGGAAAGAATTTTAGAGTTCATCGACGATAATTATATACAATATTAATTAATCTTCAAATAATGGTAGTATTATAACTACATGGTAGCGAGAAACAGATTAGGCTCCAGATCCACTTTTGCCATATCTGCAATGGCATTTTCATAGCTGTAGGATGAAAAGTTGCATTTCCTTGTTACTGAATGTTTTTCCTTTTTGTCCAGCATACTACTTTATTTTTGTCCAAAGCATATGATATTTAATGTTACAGTTCAATATTTGACAAGGCCCACTAGCAAAAAGAACTCACAGTGATAAGCACAACCTCCTAATCCCAAGCAAAACAACCCATGTGATTAAAACAAAAATTTAGTAGTCTTTTCACGCACATGCCCACATCAACATGTAACAAATATCATATAAACAATGGACCATATTATTCTCGGGTCATAAAGTCGAAAGCAAATTATGCAACTAAATTTTATGTTCTGGACCCAAGACAGGAAACAATTCAGTGTCCTACAAAGGCTTTTAATGAAAAGCTTTTTATTTTTTGACAGAAGAAACTTCAAATTTTTATTTCCACGTCGTGAATGATTTTTCATTTTACATAATAATTTAGGGGCTTAAGAGAGCTGCTGCAGCCTGTAACTGAAAATATTGTACAATGTTGTTGCATTCTTAATGTTATAGATGTCATGATTAGAGACTGCACGAGTGTACTGGGATATGTGTGATTGTAATTTCTTTAATTTTAGAATATTTAATTTTCTTATTTTCTTAAACCAACTCTCACATTTAAAATTCATTTAAGGTAAATGAGTCGACACACAAAAAAGTCATGACACAAGATAATAGTTTATAAGAGAATATTAGAATCGTGTTTATACTAAAAATATGATTAAAAATTATATAGAATGGTTTGATTATGTGTAAGGAAGATATTTAAAAGAGTTAGTAAAAAGAATGAACTGCATGACTTTTACTTTAATAAAGAGAAGTCCTAAGAGATCAAAAAAATTTATATAAAGTTATTAAAAGTGACATTTTGATTAACCAAATTTTAAAAAAATTTAATTTTTGACCGAGTTCTATGGTACCATGTGATTCATGTAACTTATCTTACCTACTTAAATAAGGTTTGGTCATTATTGTTGTTGTATAGTAAAAGTATGATATATTATTGGTATATATAAATTAATAAAATAAATATTTTTTTATAAAATATAATAATCTCCTTTCAATTTTTATTTTATTATTTTATATACTTTTTCCTTACAAATTTATACAAGTTAATAATATACATATTTATTATATTTTATTAATTATTAGATAAAATTTTAGGATAAAAAACTTAATTTGAACAATTGAAAACCGATAAGAAATATTTATAAGCAATTAAAACTAGAGGAAGTAAAATCACATATAAATAAAAACATAACGACTAAAAGTGCAATAAAGTATAAAAGTGATATTATAACATTAGGTTTATCAAATATTATAATTAAATTAAATCAAAAATGTATTCGTTTATATTTTCAACAAACGTTGAAACACAACCAATTGAAATATTTCAATAATATAGTATTATTATTAATCCAATTTATGGCTACTACTTATCAAGAAACTACTGCTGTACTAGTAGTGAAATAAAAGAATTCCAAAATACAGCAGGGCACAAAATCCGCATTTGCAATAAATGGGCAATAGGAACATTTCTAGCATATAAAGCTGTATGTGAGGAAAAATTATTAGATAAAGGAGGGAAAAATATAGAAATGGATGGTTGTAATGCAATTTGTATAAAACCTACGAGTTATTTTGTGTGTGTAAAAGTGTAAATAGCACTACAAGCATTATTTGTCTTAGCAAATGACATGCAAACCAAGGTTGAAAAATAATCTTCTGACAAAAGTTCAAGTTCAACCAAATAGTTCTATTGAAATAAATTCTTACCATATGCTGGAGGGACGATAACCAGACCAGCACTCAAAATTAAACATAAGTTGTGCAGAAAGACAAGTGAGCATGGTTTAATCCTAACTATGAGGGTGCGCATGGTTTTGTGCTTGGAAACTCGCAAACCACAGTTTCGGGTGGGCAAAAGCTTGTTTCTTGTAGCTTTTGTTCAAACCATGGTTTAGAGATATTAAACGGAAAATTGAACACACTAAAACAGGCTAGAATCTTTGCACATCAATGGTTAATACCAAGACTATGAACAAGATGGGATCTACTGGCATCAAACTTAAACATAAGTCATACAAAAAGAACCTAGCTTGCAAGAAAAGAAAATGCCACCAGTTTACAAGGTCCTTGAATTTCTAGTCTCATAATCAAAGCACAAATCCATTGCCAGTAATAAAATAGCAAAGTGCCCCACAAAAACAATCTGAGCGTACACATCTTCAATGCATACAAACCTGCATCTAAAAAAGAAAATGAAAAAAAAAAAAAACTTGATTGAACATAGAATGTTGATATCTAATGAAAATAGTATACATGTAAATGATTTGTCATATAAGATTAGCACAGGTATAAAAAGAGGTCACAAAAAGACCTTCAATAACTAGTAGATATATACTCAGTAACATAATCATCAAACTAATAAATATATCTATATTTGCTTCCATGATCTTCAAATGAAATTTTGCACATTGATGCAAGTCAGGTCCCACAAAGTAATCACAGAGAACAGAACTACAAGATTAATAAGAGAGTATGATATGAACAATTTCCTTAGTTAAAAAATACATAAATAAATAATAAAAAAAAAGCACATGGAAAGATTGATAAGAGTAGAAGTTTGGTTCTGTTGGCAGTCTGAGCCCTACCCAAACTATTGCCAAATAAAAGCAAGAACGACACAGAAAATAACAAACACCAGCAGCCTCTTTAGATAATAATCTTGCTGCCCTTGACCTGCTTGTAGAGGATATCTATGAAAATGACCATTATGATATGAAAACCCATAAGGAAACCCAGCAGCTCCACCATACATGGTTCCATCATGAAACCCATGCAACTGAAAGTTAAATAAAGATGGTATAAAACCACCAATTGCTGCTGACAATGTAAAGTTCCCAAATCTTGTCGTGGCTGCAGGAGCAAACCCTCCCAATCCACCTGTGAATCCAAACCCAGGTTGAGAAAAAGGATTTGGTTCTGGAGGAGGAGCAGTTTCAGGTCTCTGACCCGCAGGACGATGTGGGATTTTAACACCAGGAATAGACTTTGATCTCGGGTCAGTTGATGTTTTTCCTCTACCATACAAGGGAACCAACTTGGCCTCCTCAATGAGTGCCTTGCACACCGGGCATTCTTGTGACTGTGAGTGAAAGTGAAGCCATTTGTAAAGACAAGGCCAGCAGAAAAGATGACCGCATAAAGTAATTATAGGGTCTTGTGCTAAGTCAAAGCAAATGTTGCACTCAAAATTGCCAGCATCGTTCTTATTATTGTTGCTTGAGTAGGAGGGGCTTGAAGGTGACCTGCTTGTTAATTCCTCTAACCTATTTGCCATCTGCATAACCACAACCTTCAGATTACATATGACAGTCTTTGTACACCAAAACCCAAAACATATTTTGGCATACAAAAACATCAAACGTTAAGAGTGCATTTAGATACACGGCTTATTTTAAGCTCTCATTCAATAAGCTATTTTAAAACTATGACTTATATCATAAATTTAATAATGAAATTTATTGGCAAAAGTATTTTTATAAGCTAAACTAAGGTCAATGAAATAAACTAAAAAGAGCTTACGAGAGTAATAAACTATTTCCATCAACTATTCATAACCTCTTCCAAGCATACTCTAAATATGTCATGATATCTCATACATACATGCGTGTATGTAACATTGCTGAATCAAAATTCAGTTATTATTTCAAAGCAAGTAAAATACGTTATCAAATAAAGTAAGTTAAGTAACTCATATCAAGGATGGGATCGAAGGACATTGTCAATTGCATATAATTTCAATCGATATGCTACAAGAAAACCCCAATTTCGTGAGAATCTAACAAAATCGATCAGGAACAAAAACCCTAGTCAGATGGAAATAACCACAACCCCAGATCAAAATTCATTATTACAGCGAGTTGCTTAGCGGTTTCTTAGAACAAAAATACAACTTTGTACATGGATGAAATCAGGGAATGACAATTGAGGTCATTGACGACCAACCCAGATGCAATTGAGCAAAGAAATGACGCATATAAGAGATTAAAGGATATAGAAAGGAGGGAAAGGAGTTACAAACCTGTAGCTGACGCAACGATAGATCCTAGAAAGTCAAACCTCAAAAGGGAGAGAATGAGGTATTAATTGTTAATGGTTTTGACAGGAAGATAAAAAAGAGTGTGGAGATTGCAATGGGAAAGATAAGAATTAAAAACAGCGTGGAAGCATAAACAGAGAAAATAAATGAGTGTGTTTTACTATGTTCAGCGCGTGATCATGGTTTCATGGTTTGGTTCATCACCAGCAGAGCATAAGTGACGAGTTCCAGCTGGCGTTTAGCTATTAGTTAGTTGTCTGTTATTAACGAACGCGTTCAACCATACCTCCAAACGCATTCTCCTTGTACAAAAATGTTTCAATAATACTGTTTTTAAATATATATATATATATATATATATATATATATAACTTTTTTAATTTAACTTTTAAAATTGAATTTAGTCATTTATAAATAAAATTTTTAGAAAAATATATGTTTATTAAATTAAAGTTATAAAAATAGTTAATAAAATTGTACTTAGTAAGGACTAATATATATAGGAATTTGATTTCAATTTGCTTTATGTTTTGAAGTATATTCATGCGTCAAATACAAATTTTGCGAGCCAATCCGGAAGTTAGAAGTTAAATTCATATAAACACTTCTTTCTCTGCCTGTACATTTATTAGTGAATCTTACACCCCTGCTCTTTGTAAAATTTCTCTATCATCTTTGATCCAATGATATCGTAGTATGCATATAAATTTTATAACTTACATAAAAATTAATATGTAGCTTGATATAAGATATCCAAGTCACAGATTCCAAATCACTCAAAAATTAATCTTTCTTTCATTTGTGGTTACATACAAAACTTTTCAAAATCCCATAACTATCGATAAAAAAAATAAAAACAAATAAGGTTATTATTATTCGACATATGAAGCTTTTATGAAAACATTTAGACTATAAATATATTGAAGTAGACGATAAAAATTATCAGAAAATTTTGATATCATAGATATTTGTGAGAAATTGAGTATTTTTGTAAAAAGCTTTTATGATTCAAAAGATTCAAAAATAGAAAGATATTATGTTTCTTAAAATAATATACAGATTTAACATATTCTTTATATAGTATCAGAGATTCTATGATTCAAAAGATTCAAAAATAAAAAGATATTATATTTTTTAAAATAATATACAGATTTAACCTATTTTTTATATAGTATCAAAGATTCTATGATTCAAAAAATTAAAGAATAAAAAGATATTATGTTTTTTAAAATAATATACAGATTTAACATATTCTTTATATAGTATCAGAGCACTCAACTTAGGAGACTCTGTTTGCACAATCTTTATCTTAAGACACTAGCCTATATTATTGTTGCAATAAATTTAAGACAACAACTTATATTATTGTTGTATTAAATCTAAGATAATAGTCTACATTTCTGCTAAGTTTTATGTGCCTTAGACACACATTTTCGTTGTCGTTTGCACGTTCTCTGTGCATCACAACTTTCTTTTCCTATGTTACTATTTCTTTTGTGTTTTTAATTGCACGTATATGTCATCCTTCATCACTCAACTTCTATTAACCCCTGCAATTCATCTTTCACAATGTTAAAAAAAGAGGAAGTCGTGAATCCAACCCCAAAGAAAAGGAATACCCAATCCTAACAAACTGTAGAATTGCATAATATTCACCATGCATATAAGTTGAATGGGAGAAATTATTTGAAGTGGACCTAGCTTGTTCACACAATGCTCAAGGAAAAAGAAAAGTTAGGTGTTTGTGGGCAAGTGTACCCACTAAAAAGTAATAAAAGAATTCTAAAATAAGGTCATGAAATATCATCTCACAAGGATTGTTTCCAATTATTAAGAATTTTTTAATTTAATTTTTTAAACTTAAAGGATATGAAATTAAATAAAACAATAATTTAAATATGAAAGTATTTAAAATAAAATTAAAAATGGTGCAACCTCTGACAATAAATTAATCGAGAAAAACCTAGAACGTATGGTTTCACTTTATACTTCTTTATGTTCACTTATAAATTAATTCTAATTCTGATTTCCTTATAATTGGCAACTACTCATATTAAATCTATTAACACTCAATGATTATGCAATGTTAACAATTTTTTTTCCTAAGTTATTACCTCCAATGGTCATGCAAGATAAAAGAAAGAGAAAGCATGAAAAGCTTATGAGCTGTTAATTTAATAACGATAAAAAAAGAAGAACTAAACTTGGTCCACATAATCTTTTGTCTTGTTTTACCCTATAAACCAATTAACTATATGTGGTATGGTCGCCTATGATATAATTAATTATGATATATTTAAGAGTTGTCAATTCCAAATATACAAATATAGCGCAATAAGATAAATACCAATCGAGAAAGAAAACATGAAATTATCATTAATCATAAAGATCTCATAAAGTCATGCAAAGGATTCACCGTAGCCATAGTTATAGATTTAGTTAATCATAATATAATAGAAAACCAACATAATAATAAACCAATCCATAATTATTCGAAAAGCAAATGCAAACTAGAAAAGTCTCCAATGAAGAAGCGATAAAGAGACTGGCCAATTATGGCAATACCAAGACGTGCTCCTAAAACTCTAATAATTGTCAGAGACTGTCCAATATCAAGATTGAAGATATAAAAAGGTAAGAGATATGAAAAAGATGAGATGTGAGGTATAAGAGATGCATAAGTCGTTGCCCATGAGGTTCCTTTTATATGGTTTCAAAATCCTAATATTTCTTTAAAGTTCAACTTCTAGCAAGTAAGCATAGTCGTGCAACGCAATATGCATAGTCGTACATGTAGTCGAAACACTCTTGTGCTAGTTGCTAAGATATAGCGTGATGGCTACGGCAAAGCTCTTTTTTCCATCCAATTTGGACCCAAAAATTCAATTATGTCCTTTAATGCTAAAATGCATAATTAATATATAAATTAGTTTAAAACTCAAATAAAATAATGACTACACATGAATATATAGGTTATAAAAGCATGTCAAAATACAGACTTATCAATTTCCTTGTACTTGAGATTTGTTTGCCTTAAAATAAAGTCTTGGCTAAAAATAACAAAATAACTTAAAGCATATTATTACAATAAGGAACCCAAAATAAATGAAATTAAAAGAACATAAAGAGTAATGTCACTAAGCATAAGAAATTAAAAAAGTCTCCTAATTAGAATTTTATATTCCCTAACTTCGAGGTAGTCTATTTTCCTCTCACTCTAAGTGTTTAGGAACAAAAGAAGATATCACTCAGTTTTTCTAAATAGAAGTCTACTACCATAAGTTTGAGTATAAACAGACTCTCTACTAAATAAATTGAATGTAAGTAAAAATTATGAGGTCTTTTTCAGATTTGTCATTTAAGAATAGCTCTTCTTAAAATTAGGAGTTATATCTATGGTAACAACAAGGTTCTATGGCCAAATTTACCACATATTTGACATTAAAGTATGTTGTTATGTCTCTTCCAAAGTTTCTAATTCTAACTTGCTAGAATTGAAACGCACCTCCACCTTTTATCATATTTATTCCTTCTTTTTTTTTGCAATTCGATTGAAATTATACTAGGTTTCTTGCAATTCTTGCATTGAGAAAGAATTTATACTTTTCTTATGCCTCTCAACTCTTAAATCTTTCTTTGTGAAACATTCGTTAATAAGGTTTTGATTTTTACCATTGGGTCTAGTCTTGACATTACTAAATCCACAAATGGATCATATTCTTTATGGAGTCCATAAAAAAATAATAATAATAATTTGTATTTGATCTTCCTCACAAACAGACCCTCTATTGTTGCTAGCATATTAATAATCTTTTTGACTAGTAGCATATACTCGTTTAAATGTCTAATTTTCTTTATCCTTTTTAGTTGTACCTTCAACTATTTGATCTTAATTCTAGTTTGAGAAGTAAAAAAGGTTTTAAGTTTCTACTAAATTTAGAAAGAGAATTCAGATCCTACCATTCTTGTGATAAGATTTTTTTACATTGACAAAAGCAGTTATGAAGCTAATTCATGTTGTTCCCAATTAATATACTTTATATTGGTTTAATTAAAAGTTTCATCTTCTTTTGTCAAAATATTATTTGACATTCCTCTAGAGTCCTCAGTATACTTATAATGTTTATATTTTTATATTATGGTTAATGCTTAATGTTTTAAGTAAAAATGTCATGTTTATTCAATTTGAATCAAACTAGATTTAAAAAAGTATAAGCAACTATGTGTGGATTGCTTTGTGTTTGGATTGTATAACTCTTGATAACATGAAAGAACTAAGGATAACTTTTATTGATTTGTTGAAAACTAAAAACTATAGAATTGGTAAAATAAAGATGCTAAATTTATTTGTAACACACGGACTATACAATAGAATAACTATAATATCATACTAAACACACAACAACATATACCACTAACAATTAACTTTGTGATACTATCTTTAAGATTAAGAAAATTAAATTATAGCTACACAACTTAAGAATTAGGACATTGGTGACATTAGAATCTTTATTGCTGGCTGAGAATAAGCATAATTTTAGTGCTTTCTTAGTGTTGTTGAAATATCTAATGGTAGTTCTATGATATTTGTGGAGACATGACTGGTAGCGATAGTTGACAAATATGATGGTAATGCTTTCAATTTTACTAATTGCTTCACAGATTGATTTATGCAAATAATATTTAAAATTTATTATAATATAAGTAAAAAATTTATACTTGTTAAACTTTTTTTTTATTTTTTTCTCCTTATTTTAAACAAAATGACTTAATAATAATTTTCAAACTCTTAGTACTTATATTAAAATATTTTAAAAGAAGAAACCTACTCTAAAAGAGAATTTCAAGGCACAGATTTTTTGACATTTTTACTTTAAAAGATCTTATCACTTAAAAATATATTTATATAAAATTAAACTTTATTAATTATATATTTGAATAGTTATATTGAAAATTACGTCTCTCTCCAATTAATTCAGAATTGAGAGGTCCAGATCCGTCCATTCAGTAAGTGGCACATGTGATGAACTTTGACTCTGTTTAAAGCCCATAAAACTATGACCAGAAAGCGCGTACTCTTCTTCCAAACCTGACTTTATTTTCTGCTGCCATTTTTTCTTGTTTATTTATCACCTATATCCCCTAAACTAAGTGAAAGGTTAGTGAAATCATGTGTACATGCATGTCACGTAATCTGTCAA